GACTGTTGCTCTTGTTATTTCAGGCTTTATAAGTAGAACTGAATTGAAAATGATTTGCAGTCACTGAGAGGACCATGAACTCCTCTGTACACCAAAGTATTCTGCAGTCTAAGGCGAGGTCATCTGTCCTGCAGCTAAATTGGGACAGCAACAGGAAAAGTGATGGAAAATGAAGGGATGGATATTTGTATTTAATATATAAAAACTGAATTTAATCTTTCAGATTTTAATGAGCACATCTTGATCTAACCCTCAAATAAAATATAAGATTTATGTCACACAAGGCAACTCAAGAGTCTGATGTGACTGTTCCTGAGTTTAAATCTGAAGGTTTTGCCATCAGCGCTGAACTCTGGAACAACCTGCTCGAGGACAAAAGCCTTTCAGCATCAGCTGCTTGCTTTGAATCAGCTCTGCTCTCATATGTGGACTCTGCCCTGTTGTGACTCACAAACCTAAATCAAACTCAGTGTCAGTCATCATCAGTCGAGTTTGTGTTTCTTCCCATTTTAGTTTGAGAAAATATGTTAATCAACAAACTTTTCGTACCGATGTTAGTTTTATGGGACTTTTTATTCCACGTAGCTTTGCTCTGAATCCTAAAGGCAGGATAAGAAGACCCGAGCTGTGGGGGAATATTTTAGAAGGCTTTTCCATGACAGCCTGATGTGGAGGAGAACTGATGAAGACTGAGAAGCTTAGACAGTTGGACTATTTCACAATGTGAGGATGGACGTTGGAGACGTTCATCTGCGGCAGCCTGAAAGCGGACTGCAGACACAGGCTGTTACATCGTCCACACATCAGTGTGTCAGATAAAGAAGAACCTCAGAGGGGAAGTGTGCGTCTCTGCTGCTGGTCCAGAGTAACTTCTCCTTTATTCAGACTTCCTGTGACTGACGTTTGTCTCTAACATCCTGAAGCGTGCAGCACACACAGAAGTCACTCTGACAAAGCTCGTCATCTTTAGAGAGCTTTGATGCCGATGCATCAGCAGGTCACTGCACCATTAATGAAGATGTCCTCCTGTAAAGGACACTTCAGTGTCTCCTCTGCTAAAGGAGGCAATAAAGGAAGCTCTGAAGCTCCTTCCTTTAGTTTCTGAGACTTCAAATGGCTCCATCCGTGGCTGCAGAGACTTCAGGTCTATTCAGCTGTTATCTGCTTTTAGAGGGGCGGAGTCTTTATCAGCACGTTATTAACCTGACCAGTGGGTGGAGCCCACAGGTGTTATGACTTGTTGCATCCTGAGGGGTGCGAGGTTAATGTGTCAGTGAGGCGTAGCCTTCACACATAAATGCTGTACACAGAGATTCATGCAACGCCTTTAGAGTTATATCTACATGTTCAAAACTATTCAAAAGCACCATGGTAACGATTCTGAACAGCTCACCTGGTCAGGAGTGGGCGACGTGCAGCGTGCTGGTGGGATAAACCCAGCCGCGCCTCCGTCTCAGAGAGAAGTAGATCCTGATTTCCTCATCTTGGTCATCTGTGCTCCTCCCCTGTCCATTTACAGGAGTCACATGACTACATAAGAGGAAGTGTGTGTCTTGGAGACATGAGCGCTCTCAGGTGACGATGTCCGAGCTGTATTTGATCACCAAACCTGTAAAATTGTTTCTCTGCCTCCAGCTTCAGCCCACAACCTCAGAGCTCCTGCTCATCCTCACCGACCATGAAATGCCCCCGGATCCACCCAGGCAACAGTAAACCAGGTGTTGACCCACAGGAAGTGAGGAAACAGGAAATATGGCGCTGATGAGAGAATCTTACAGAACCAGAGGTGCCGGTTTCTGCTGAAACTTCATGGCTCTAAAGGCGGAGCTGTCACGTCTTGTTCTTCACGCCTTTCATGTTTCCACACTGCTCCACCCACCCACCCCCACCCGGTCTGTACAAACAACTCCAGCTTTCATCACAGGAGGGCAGGAAGCCCGCTTACACAACCAGGCATCACAGGAAACAGAGTCCCAACGACACACAGCAGAGACACTGAGCGTCATGTGACCGTTGCTATGCACACAGAACAGAAAGAGGCGAGAGCAACATGTAAAATATTTTATTTTTCTGTAAATGATTCTAAATCAGAGTCACCATATTTCCCAAAAACAAACATCTTCATCGTCACGGTTACGTCCAGTAATAATAAAAAAGGCTTCGTGTCGTCTCTGTACACATCAGCAGTCTCCTATGTACACGGCAGCGGGACTCGGCGCCTGAAGGCCGCGGTGACGCCTGCCCCTTCACAGTCCGTCCAATCGGGATGCGGTGCCGGGTCGGCAACACAAACGGTACTTGAAACGCTGCAGCTGATTGGCGGTGGTGAGGTTGGTGGAGGGCTTCTTAAACTCAATTCTCTCATCTATGGTACACGTATTTACACACCGCCACGCCGGACCTCGAACGCACCGCAGGTTTAGAAAATAGCTTCATTCAGTAATAAATACAAAAAAACTCTTATTTTACAGGAAATTAACAAATGGAGGTGGGCGGGGCCGGAGTGGGGTGGGCGGGGCCGGGGAATAAAGTCTCTATTTTTGTTGTTTTTGTGTTTTAGTGCAAGTTAAAGACAACACATTCTCTGATCTCACATTTACATCTGTGCTCATTTTTACACACAATATACACAGAGGACCAGCCTCTTTAAGCCCCGCCCACTCTCCAACACAGCTACGCCCTCAGAAACAAGCTTCTGACCCCACCCGTGCGCATATATAACCCCCACCCTGACCTGTTATCCCCATCATCAATATTATTATTATTACTTCTGTTATCAAAGCAATCACTTTCATTATTATCACTGTGTTGATATGAAGTTAAGCTCCGCCCACAGGGATCGACAGAGAGCGAGCTGCCTGTGTGTGTGTGTTCAGTTCATCCATTTGCGGCAGTTGACGGCTCCGCAGTGACACGGGATCTTATGCTGATCGTCCTCCAGGTCGAACTTGTAGTCGTAGCACAGCTGGAGGGGGAGGGGCAGTAATCAGTAACCACACAGCTCTGAGGTGAGGTGATGGAGGGCGGGGCTTACCTCTTCTCCTCTCTGGATGCGTCTGCAGGAGCTGATGATGATCTTGTTCTCCTTCTCCACTGTCACCACCTCAGTGATACAGTTGGGAGCACATGAGTGGTTGATGTACCTGCCAATCACACACAGAGGCGGGTCTTTCACAGGTCAACAGACCAATCACTATTAAAGATTCCTGCAGCCTGCTGGGATCCTTCATCAGGTTTTCACTTTGATCTCTCTGAGTTTATCAGAACTCGGCTGGTTCGGATATTTATCAATGCAGAGCCACCTGAGCCCCGCCCCCGAACACACCTGGACTTGGTGCAGCCAAATATCCCAGAATGCATTTAGTCTGAAACTCAAACGGAGGACAGCGGATAAGAATTTGGGACCGTGACAAAGTTTTAATGAATGTTGATGAGTAAATATAATATCTGCTCGACTTATCAGGACGTCACATCTGTAAGAAGTGCTCTGAGACGTCCATTACCCCACCAGCTGTCAGCTGACCGAGAGGTCAAGGGTCACTAGAGCCAGTGAGAACGCCTGACTTCCGGCACAATAACACACGAGGTCTGCACGTCACCTAGATAACATGTTAACGTTGGGTTTATTTGTTCCTGAGCGGTTCATCACGCGTGACTTTCTTACATCACGCGTGATTTCCACTGCAAACATGAATCAGTTAAATTCAGAGGGGCGGAGCTGCGACCCTTGCACAGCCCCGCCCTCACCTGTGAGCACCAGATGAAAGAAAAGTTTCCTGTGAGGAGTGTCTGAGCGCTCCACGACAGGTGAGCTGCTGCTCACCCACATTTTAAACACCAGAACACCTGAAGCGTCCCAGGACAGGTGTTTCAAGTCCAGGTGGACACACACACACACACACACACACCTCTTTAGCCTCTTACTGCATCTGATCATCAGGACTGTTGTCACCTCCTTGCTGAAACAGCAGGGGGCGCTCACCTGAGCGTCTGTACAGGAAGGGCTCACCGGGTCAGGTGTGTGCGGGTCTGCACTGAACCGGTCTGAGCTGGACTCACCTGGCGGGTCCCCCGGTGATGGTGGCGTCGATCACGTAGTCGTTGTCGATCCGGAACATGTACACGCCGCGATTCTGCACACAGACACACAACACGAGTGAAAGACGTGACCCTCTGTGGACGCGAGACGTGCAGGCCCCACCCCCTTCACATGATGTCACTGACAGTTTGTGTGACGTGTGAA